GTGTTGGGATGATTCCTTCTGCCAGTTTTCCAATATTTTTCAACTTCACTACGCCGCTCGGTTGGCTGCTTTAGCTCAGTGGTGGTGAAACAACAACTGCTTCGCAAGAAAAACGCTGGATTCTTGCTTTGGAACTTGATACTGTATTGGATTCAATTAGCCATCAAAATATAACAAACCAACCACATGCACTTCATGCTTCATGCCGCTGCAACTTGCTGATTGCAATGAGAATGAGGCAAAATAACCCAGACTCCGACGTCTAATTTTAATTAAAGGAAAACATGGGATGGAAAATGCAGATTGGGAGAAAAAAGTAAGCTACGTACAATAAATGCAAGGCCTCACCACACCGGGCAGTCCAGAGCCAGACTCCGGAAATGCATGGCTGTGTTCCCTACATCCTGCCCGCCCAGCCCTAACCCTGGCCCAGGCCCTCGCCCCCACACTGCCAAACCTCTGTTATCACTCCGTGCAATTACCTCCAGATTCCACGGCACGAAGATCATATTGGGCCAATTATACAATCCCATTCTGAGTACAAAGTACAACACAGGTTTGAGCTAAAACCTTGCAGTTTAACACAAGCCTGTATAGGGGAAGCCTTCTAGGTCTGTGCATGCAAAAAAACAAAAACAAAAAAACAATGTCTGGCCACAAGATGGTGCTTGTGCAAATAGGGTAGAGTTTCTCATTTCTCAAAACAAAACTTCTTATTTAATGACGACATATACCGGATCTCGAAATATTGTGTCAGCTTCTTTGAAATTACATGTTACCACGAAGAAAATTATAAGCAATTTGGCAAGACAGTTTAGAAGAAAATTATAATTAAAAGTCACTTGTAAGCAACTGAAACCGTTTGCTCAAAGTAGCACTTGTTGAACTCACAGCTGTGTTGTACATATAAGGGAAATGGTGTGTGAACAAAATGCAATGTGTGGAAAGTTGCTAGCTAGTTTAAAACTTTGCTGGGTTATTTTTGGCATATTCACAAATTGCAACAGAAGCAGCGAGACAAAGTTTTTTTTTTGTTTTGTTTTTTTTAGTACTTAGCGTTTGCACATTCTTGTTAAAAAAAATTTAAAACCCAACATAATACTTATTTAAGTAGCTACACATTCCAAAGAAATCTTAAGGGCTACAAAAGTTTACCTAGTTCTTGTTTTTATTTGGACAAAAACATGTTAGCAACAGCCCTTTTTTTTTTCTTTAGCCGTCCATATTTAGCCTCGACAAAGACGTTCAAAGTTCATACCCTGTTGTATCTATATTTGCAATTCTTATCTTGACGCATGGTCAAATTGTGTTGACTGACAAAAACTGCTCATCAAGCAAACTGACAACAAGAAGCCCCAACCACTTAAATATTGTGTGTAGCAGCTGTGAAACTATCAGCTAAACGCTACCTAATGACAATGCTAACGTTAGCAACAGCCTTGAAACTTCTGAACATAACTTTACAGTTTCTTTAAAGGGTCTATATCCTGCATTGGATTCTCCATTTTCTAAAGTCTTCACTACTCAACAACTACACATACTCCACAATAACAAAAATGTATTCTTTTCACTTGACAGAACTTTTCTCTCATCTTGTGTCTGACAATTATTTTATACAAATGTTGCACTTCAGTTCTTGAGAAGTATGAAACGTCCTGGTCAGAAAGAACTTTGTTCTTGCCACCTCAAGTGAAAGAAGAAATTTCTCTTCTTGTGCACAGCATGTACCTTCAGTCTAATAAAATCTGAACTGAACTCCTTAACACCCAGAACCCCAACCACTTTTCAGTTGTCGGTGGAGCAGTATTCGAGATACTGGGGTCAAAATAAAAAATTAAAAACTGAGAGGGACAGACAAGATGTAATGCAAAAACCACATAAATTAGACTACTTTCGATGGACATTAGAGCTAATGTGGAGTTAGAGAGGCATAAATATTACATATGGAACATTCTGCAATGATTACAGCTTTTTATGTTGAGCCTTACATATTTGTGAAAATGGACAAGAGGGAGGTTCCTAGCTTTCTCAAAAAAAGTTCTTAAAACCTCTCATTCTCTTGACCTAAATACTGTGCATCACCTCATCTCGTGAACTTAATTGTTGCACTACTTCACAATAACTTTTGATCAGGGGGAACATATGAAAATGTACAAAATGTACAAACCTCAAGTTGGTTTATGAGTAATGATAATTATTTTATCAAGAACTTGGAGTCTTCTTTCACACAGTAAAGTCTGAAACTGGCCTTAATGACCAACTCCTGGCTCAGACTATCGGGATATAAAATGTTGACCCACTCTAAAAAATTACTGAATTTCAGAGATGGATCCAATCATCTGTCACCAAGCTGGACCTTATAAGGAGTAGAGGGGCTTTCTCCACACATTTTCCAAACCCCAACTCAACTTATCTGACATAGTAACACAAAAAACTATCAGTATTCTGAGGCCAAAAAGCCTTCAGAAACATCCGACGTATCCGTGGTTTTCTAGCTGCATTCTTTTCACATTTCCCAGATACTAAAGCAACAATCGAGACTTTCTGAAAGTCAATCGAATTCATTGTAAAATACACTTTCTCACCAACAGAGCAGCATCTTTTTTTATTTAATGCAATGTACTGTTAACAGTTAAATGAAAAAAAAAAAAAACTTACTCAAAAATATTTCAATTATGTTTTTCTTGTTTTGTTCTTTTTATCTGCATGAATTCAACAACAAAAAATGCTTCTTGACAGGTGTTCAATACCCTGCAACAACTGCATTGGAAGATATTACATGGATTTCTGGAAAACTTAGGAAATTATAAAACACTCCTTGGTCTTTTTCACAAGTGTTTTTTGAAGAAGACCAAGGCAGACTGGAATAGCCAGATTTCAGAGATATCCAGCAATCATTTCAAACCAAGTTGTTTATAAAAGCCATGTGGATATCCCAAGTACAAAGGCATATCCAGGCGTTCAGAGGGTTATCTTTTCATAACTGCAAAAGTGATGTTCCATCACACTATTCAAACCTTTTAAAGGTCTTTCAGATACCGGGGAGTGACCAGTTTACCTAAAATTGCTTGGTAACCGAAAATTAAGGTTACCAAACAACTTAGATGATTTTCAAGTCACAACATTGTTTCCTACAAAGCTGTTGCAACTTGCAAAGCTGTCTACAAGATAAGTTGTTAATATAAAGATAGTTTGAGCTCAGGCTACAAGCAGTGCAACTGTAGTGGCAAATCATGTAACTATTTTAGGTGACACAAGTAGAATGCGGGAACTTGTTCACTTTATGAGTGACAAATATGCACGGATGGCACAATTCACAAAGTAATGCTAATAAACTGATACTATGTAAAATTTCTGAACACCATCATTGTTGCCGTTAGCTATAGCTTTGCTATCTGTGGCATAGAGGTCAATATTCTGTCCCACACATTGGGTTGAAAAGCTTGCAAATCAAACACTATTTTAATGCATCAGAATCAACGCCAAAATTTTATAAAAAGTCGTTTATGTGCCATAATGTTTATGGAAAAAATTGGGATCACCTTCATAATTTGTAGTCTGTACAATTAGACTCCTTTAATATAAATAAAATGGAGTTGTTTGCCAATACCAGTCCTGCATTAATTTGTATTGCCTGAGGGACGTTGCAGTTATGCAATTAAAAATAAATCGAAGCTCCAATCTATAAAAACCGGCAGTCGTTGCTGCTGTGTCACTGTGGTGATAGTACAATAGCAAAGGACACAATATCTGCTATGTTGTCATAGTTCAAATGTCACAAACAAAGTCTACACCGTGATGATATATTTGGCCAGTTGGATGGACTCTTACTGCCCTTAAAGCTCACATCTGATGTATAGCTTTATTGGCTGAGAGGCTAAAGGTCACAGAGAGTGGTGGGGACATTGTGCAGTGGTAACAGAAGAGAATGGTGAGGAAAATGTTGGTTAATCCCTACAATTTTTTACCAATGGCACTCCAGGTAAACATTTTCCTGATACCATTCACCCTTATCAATTTTTACTATCTACCAGCTAGAGGTTTCTGAAACTAATTTTGATTTGATCAGTGATCATAGAGTTATTTTACATTAGAGCAGACTGATCACAACTGGGAAAATAACCATTTTAAATGGAAATAAGTTGTCCGAAAATAATGCACAATAGAAAAGAGAAGTTGTAGAATCTATCTAAAATTGGTAGGAAACTGGCTAATAGTCGAATTAACCAGGAGGTGCTTTTTTTTCTCCTTTTCCCCCCTCTGCCCCTTGTGATGTCATCAACCCAAATACAAACAAAGCAATATCTACCTTCTTTTTTTTTCTTTGCCTATTTCTTGTAATCCTGTAATGGAAATTCTATCTATCGATCTATCGCATCTAAACACCCACCTGTGTTGTTATTGTCAAATTAATTTTACAAATGACAAACAAGACTATCTTTTACAGTGGTTAAAGCTGGTCCCTTTAACTACAGTTCAACACTTTCCATATATTGACACTCCGTTGTAGGACAATAACCCTGGAAGATGCCCAAACAGCATTTAAACAGTATAAATCATTGTGCGACATTCTGCCAGGAATGTAGCAGTAGCTTAGCGTCATGTCGGCCACTAGCTGTCCAGGGTTGGTCGCAGACAGCCCCCTCTAGCCCCTCCACCTCCCTTGCTTCGCCTTCATACTTTGTTCGATAAGAATCAGAAAGAGCTGAGCGCGCATTAAAGGGGCGGACATTCGCCTTTCTTTGTGCGTTTTCGCTGCTTGGACGCGAAAAAGTTCAACACGCCGCCGCCACATGACTTTAATTCGCCCGCGGTGGCGTAAAGCAGCAAACAAAAGATGTTCTGGGAAGAAACGGTGGGATAGTCTGCCCTCGTTTTGCTGCTTTAAAAAAAAAAAAAAAAGTTGTCGCATCATCTTTTCTCTGTTGTTTGTGTATTTTTTTTTCCCGCTAACAAAAAACAGGTTTTGTATCGCTAGTGAAAGTGTTTTCGGGGCTTACCTGTGGATCTTTAACGGGATAAAAGTAGAGCTCTGGAGTTTGGTTGAGAGGAGAGGAAGGGGAGCCAGTCTGCAGTTGATCCTCTACTACACTCAATGTTAAAACCACACCGAATACCCCGTTCAAGCCCCTCCCTTTAAGAAGACATAATCGCCATCTCCGCTTTTTTTTTTTTTTTTTGTCTGGGCCGAGCTATTCAGTCTGTTTTTAAAACGTGAAAAAAAAGTTGCAGAAATTCCTGCAAAGACTCACTGCAATCAAAATGAAAACATGAAATATAGCCACAGTTTGAAAACTTACGCAGAACTCCTTAAATCTGAAAGAGTTTAAAGAGAAAATAAGGTCTTTGCTTTTCTTCCATAAACATTTTGAGACAAAAAAAGAAGCAGACCACATACAGGCCTAGCGTGCATTTTACATTAAAATAACTCAATCAGAAAAAGGCCCAAGGCATAAGCAAACAAAGCAGCAGCGTAGATCAATTAGGATTACTGAATGAATGCTGTGAGGATTTTGTTGGATTATTTCAACTTTCCTGAAGACAATCACAATTCCTTAAATTCAAAAGCCCATGTTCTTCCTTAGTATTTGATATAATTGCCTTTTAAAGTACGACCTTTTTGGTATCCTTTCACAAACTTCTCAGAGTAGTTTCCAAAAAAATAAAAAATAAAAATTGGCTCATTCCTCTAGAGCCTGGAGAGAACTGTTGCATCCACGTCAGGTCTGTGGGCCTTACCTGCTGTCATAAACCTTTTCATCTCTGCTCACAAATCGGCAATGGGTTCCATCGTCCTTATACCAATTTGCAACTAATTTGGTGGTAGGTTTAGGATTATTTTCCTTTTGAATTTCTTGGGATATTGACAATATTTCTATAGAATGTTCCCTCCTCATGATGACATCTACGTTTGGAAGTGCACCAGTTCCTTTTGTAGCAAAACCCCTGGCAGCATGAAGCAGTCGTTCCCTTCAGGGTTTCGATTGTGTTCTCCGGTTGATGCCCAGAAACTTTAGTTTCATCACACCACAGGAGCAAATTAAGGCATTTGCTCCCTTTGCTCCCTAGCGCCTTTGCAAACTGTAATCCATCTTTTTAGTTTGCTTTTGGAGGTTTTCATGGCTTCTTCGTCTCTGAGCGGCGTTTCAGCCCATTATCAGTAAATACACTCACTTCACCTACTTTCAGCCTCCATCTTTACACAATTTTTATGTCCCATCACATGGGGATGGTGTGTTTGAGGTGCTGTCTTAAAATACATCCACAAATGCAACTAAAAAGTTGCACAATATTGTGGTCCGATCCTGTTTCTCTTAACAAAAAACTGGCAGCAAAATTATGTGTGTTTTCCGCAACCTCTCATTACACCTCAACTATAAACAAAACAACAATTGTTTGGGGTACTCACATTAGCTAACAGGTTCTCCTTATTCTACACGGAATTGCAAGTATTTCCAAATACGACCTTTTATCCTTCAGAAATGTTGCTGAGGTTGCAGGGAGTTATGAGGTGACTAACAATAGGCGCAATGTTCTACTTTTTTTTTTTTTTTTGTTGCAATGATGCATCGGCGCACAGACACTGCCCCGCTTTGTCTCGACCTTTAAAACAATGACACTCAGAACAAAGGGGAGGGGGGAACTTAAGAGCATTAGTCCGCTGATGCAGAAACGAGCACCATATGCGCTCTCCTGATCTCTTTCTACACGTTTGCTTCTTTTTAAGGCGAGGCAACAGAAACGTTGACCGCGCGAAAGTGAACAAGAGGAGCGGCGTGAAGGGAAGCAAAAGGAGCGCAGCCTGTTCCGCTCATCTGAAAACGTGTTCATCTCCCCCGGTCCTCTGAATGATGATGAATGTGGCGATAAAACCGACACTCTTCATCTCGCTTGTTTACTTTCGGGCCTTTTATTGCCATTCCACTTTGCACGCCGTGGCCTCAGGAAGACCCATTAAACGAGTGCGGGATCCTTCCGTGGATCGGTCTGATTGCCCGACATGATGAAGAGGCTCGGGGAAAAGTTTACAGTCAGCACAATGCCCCTATTTGCTATATTTACATGGTGAGCTCAGGTGTTTACCTGAACCACACGCTCTGGTTTGCTCCGCCCCCTCAGGGCTCTGGCCTTGCTTGAAAGTAAGGAAAAGGGGGGGGGAGGGAACAGTTTTCAAGAAACTGGACAGAGGCTGTTATACCAGCAGAAGTGGTACATATGGATACTAACGAAGAGGAGCGGGGGGCACTATGGCCTTTGGCTGTTTTGCTTTCTGCGAGCAGTTTGTAGCTTCTATCAAGGTTTCTCAGATCTTTACAGCCTGAGGCCAGAAAAACCTCCATACTGTCATATTTATCAGTATTACGCATCTCCAAAGTGTTACATCAGAGAAAACCCATCAGAAGTAATTATGACGGCTCTGACATCATACTGATGTTTTTAACAAAGCTGCGATGTTTTCTCGTTTCATCATATTGTTTCGAATTAGATAAAAGAGGCCACTGCCATCTTGCGTGAAGCTAACGCTGCACAGTTTCAGTCGTAGAGCGTGCAGCCGGCGTCACCATAAGGTTTATTATCGCTGTGTTGAAATGGATTAATGGCTGCTGCAGCCTGACTCTGGTGCATTTATGATGGATGAGTGGTATCTCAGATTTTCAGCCGGTTGGGGTACATACCAAACACCCGAGGCATCCTGAGTAAAAACCTGCTTGAATCCTCCGAATCGCTCTCCCCTTCCCTTTAAGTGTCTCTAAAAAAAAAAAAAAAAAAAAAAGCACCTGCGAAGGATGCATTCTGAGAGGGGAAATAAAGAGGAATTATTGCTTTCTATTTAAGTTTTCCTTTCATGCACAGTTTTCTTACAATGTCAACTGTTATAGTTTACAATGACTCAAAGCTTTCTGCTGTTATAGTATGAATATAAAGTTTTATTGGCTCTCCTGGTATAATAGCAAAAATAAATTCTGCTTTTATACCAGGAGCAACATCCTAGTAAGATTACAGCAGTCCAGTTTAGATTAAACAATTGTACAGATGAAAAAATGTGGTCTAATTTTAATTTAAAGACAGTAAAATTACAAACTTTTTACTGTCTTTAAATAAAGTTTGTAGTATAATTACTTTATTTGATTCATCCTGTATGAATATTCTTGTAAGCATAACAAAAATTGCATCAAATGATGCAAATTATCTGACAGAACTTCATATTACGCACGGAATATACATAAAATTAAGGAAATTGTGGAGAAACCTAAGCATTGTCTACGTAAGGTTGTCAAAGAAAGTATGTTCAGTCAGAAGCTTCTTCATATTCACTGCAACACTGACTGCTACAGGAGATGCTACAGATACGCTTCGACGAATCTTGAATAATATAATTTACAACATTTGATTTCCATTTGGGATCAGTAAAGTGTTTTTGAATTTGATTATGAAGTAAAAAGTATAATATTTAAAGTCGAAAATCTTTTTGTTTAAAGTGGAATAAATTCAGTGCATACATCTTGTAGATATGTTGTTTATGTCTTAATCAGATGCTCAATATGTTTACATAAACATACATATTGATAGATTTATAGATTACGTGATTATTTTGTTGCAGATTCATAAACAGGTCTGATATTGTTGCTTATTATTATTAGAATAACTGATCTATGTCCTGAACTACATGATTAAACCTAGAAATCGGCAATAGGAGAAAAAGCTCCTCCTAAAATTAGGAGTTTTATTAACATATTTTATAAACATCAACTGCTTGTAAACATTGCGAGACAATTTCAACTGTGCAAAATTACGTCTTTCCATAAATCACGAGCAATATTTGGAAGATTAAAAGTAAAAAAAGGAACAAAACAATCTGGTTTCTTCCTGCGGCTCACCAGGCTCAGGTTCTGATTGACATGTTCAGACTCCCGTAACCAGTACCCAGGTGAATCAGTCACATCAGCTTTGGGTCTAACAAATCAAACACAGTTGATGTTCTTCGCTGCAAACTGCTGAAACGAGTCAAGAGTGTATGAAGCCTTGTCAAAAAGTCTGGCTTAGTGCGTTTCTGTGAAGAATTGTGGCTTAAAGGTAAAAATCTCTTTGACGTCAGGTTTTCGTGACATCAAAGCAACTCTGAATTCGGCTCCTATGAAGAGAAATGTTTGTACATTCTTTCATCATTACTCTGAAATATAGCATTCGCTCTTTCTTTAAAGATGCATCAGTGGAAATTATTTATTGCTCGGGGCTTGCATATTACAACCAAAATCCTTTGTCAGACGAGCAGGCTTTCCAAATACACAGAGTCTACAAAAGGAAGAACTTGTCGAAAACAAAAAGAAAACAAAGCACTATACCTGAGCTATCAGAACTAGCTGTAGACATCAACTGCAAATACACTTTCGTTCCACGGAAACCGAGATGGTAACTGGTCATAAAACATGATGTAATGCAGGAAATAAAGTGTTAAAACGCAATGTGTGAGCCCAGGGATGAAGCTTTGGGACACGGCGAAGAAAGATGCCTTAGAGATGGGCTTTCACTGGGAAATAATTGGCACCTCCCATTACAGATGTTCAGCCGAGCCGTTCCCATGATACCCGGCGCTGCCGCATCAACAGCCATAAAGACGCACATATATCAGGGGTCTGGACGGAGCCGAGACATTTACGACCAAATGATCTCCGTCACGGCTTACTTCCTGTTTGTTGGGAGACGCAGGAGGCGGCGGCGGCGGCTGGCCGATAGATGTTTGATATGATTTCCACACGAGAGTCAAAGTCGGGGCAAACGCAACGCTGAGTGAAATGTCTGCGTCCGCTGACAGCAGGGCCATCTGTTCGGTATAAAAGCAACACAAAAATGACACGGGAGAAAATTTGTGTTTATGTGTGCATGTTCTGCGCATAATCTATACTTCACGTTGCCATAACTTAGCTATAATAGTTATGTTATAAACCAGATGTCTAAATACACTACTGAAAACCGCTTCATGTCACTGTGAGACAGATTGGAGTAAAATTTTTCATATTTTGTGTCAGTTAGGGTTACCATGGTTGTTTCTAAACACCTGCCAAATGCCAGAATAATCTCTTCATATTCAGACGTTTACATAAATTTCGTTAGTATTTTTGGCAGAATTGACCTAGACA